TGGGTCGGATGCTGGTGAGGAAGAGGTCCTAGCCGCTGGCGCTGGGGAGGAGTCCAGCTCGGAGGACCCGGGCAAATATAGCGAAGCTAGCAGCAGCAGCAGTGGCAGTGGCAGCAGCGACAGTGGTGGAAGTGAGCAGTAACATGGCAGCAGTGATGAGCGCTTGGGGGTGCACACACCAGGTCGGCCCCAGGCAGGATGGGACATACCAATCCCAATAGGTGCCGGTACATGTCATGCATCGGGGGTTTCATCCGTAGGAGTAGGCACGAACTCTGCAAGTGGTGGTGAGACTCCTTGGCGAGCACTTGCTGTATGGGGGGTGACATGAACGCTGTTTTCGAGGACGATGGTTGAGATGAATGCATCAGGCTGTCAGGCTGGCTGGTTGGCGTTGTGAGTCCAAAGCGCCTTGGTCCACAAGCACACTGAGACTTAGGCTACTTTGACAAGGGGTGTGCGTCCATTTTGAGGCTTGCCGCAAGTATTCACCAATCGTTAATTTAACATGCAGTAAGTGTCACATCGCAGAGTAATATCTGCCTGTGTAACCCGTGATAACAGGGTCTTCACCCGTAATTGTACGTGTAATTGGTTACATGCCCCGTAATTTACCTGCAGCACCGTGTAATATTCACCCGTAATCACTGGGTCTTCACCCGTAATTTTGCGTGTAATTGGTTACATGCGCCCGTAATTCACCTGCAGTACCGCGTAATATTCACCCATAATCACTGGGTCTTCACCCGTAAGTTTGCGTGTAATTGGTTACATGCGCCCGTAATTCACCTCCAGCACCGCGTAAAATCCACCCGTAATCACTGGGTCTTCACCCGTAAGTTTGCGTGTAATTGGTTACATGCGCCCGTAATTCACCTCCAGCACCGCGTAAAATCCACCCGTAATCACTGGGTCTTCACCCGTAATTTTGCGTGTAATTGGTTACATGCGCCCGTAATTCACCTCCAGCACCGCGTAAAATCCACCCGTAATCACTGGGTCTTCACCCGTAAGTTTGCGTGTAATTGGTTACATGCGCCCGTAATTAACCTCCAGCACCGCGTAAAATCCACCCGTAATCACTGGGTCTTCACCCGTAAATGTTCACCTGTATCCTTGTGCTCAAATTACGGGACCCGTAACGTGTTACGGACCCGTAATTTCTGTCAAATT